TGAATTAACATTTGTTTACAAGCGCCTTATACTTATACCTGTGCGCATTAACAATAAAACAACATTGGTTTAAGCAGACTACTTTGCCCGCTGGTGTCGTGTGACAAAGTCGCTGTACAATACCATACGTCTTGTACTGGAATTTTGCTAGATAGCGGAGGAAATGGTGGAAACATGTTAAGGAATTAGATTAAAAAAACAAAAACAACAACGACTGAAATGAAATTATTTCTGTATAGACTGGTTGAGAGATATTACATGTACCTATTTATTTATCATTCATTGGACAGCGGATACGATGATGTGAATATAATAGGGCCTTATACTGACCGATGATTTCAATTTCATATTATAGCGCATAATAATTATGTTGAAACTGAAAAAAAAACGCCATGAAGAGGCCTGATGAAAATAATGTAAAGAATTTTATTTATCTATTTATTTATTTTTTGGTATCATGTGCTTTGGTGCATTTGTTGTAGGCCTATGGGAGGGGGGGGGGGGTGTATGTACTTACGTTAATGGCAGGTAGGCATGTGTGTTTGCGTGAATGTTTTAAAGCATATGTGCCCAGTGGAGCCTGCTTGCTATTTGATATGCAGGTTAATGATAGATCTAATGAGAAATGTAAATTAGAAAGTGTCCACTAATATAAAGCAGTTGGTTGATTATCTGTGGCCTATTTTTACCCCCCCCCCCAAAAAAAAATAAAAAAATAAAAAATCAATTCGGTGAACTATTGTATCGAATAAAACGTTGATCCGTCCCACGCTCGGCATTCTCTGTTAAACCGCCCCTTTTGAAAACTGTTCGTGGTGTCCCCTGCCTGACTGATCTAGATGAACACCAGAGAGAGTGCAAATCTATGATCAACACGCAACAACCAGGCGTGACTTCACCGCTATACGGAAGCAAGAGAGACAAGGTTGGCCTAGGATAGGCCTCTTGGTCGAATAAATACGCGCACTTTCCGTTTTGCGAGAATATATAGGTCAGTGGGGTGAAGAAATCGACTCTGCTTGCAGTCAACAGCCTCCTGAAGGCTTGGTGTATCTAGTAGTATGTCATGTATGTAAGTCAGTTTTGGTTCAATTTGGTTCAGTTTTACAGAGTATGAATGTCCTTTTTTTTTTACCTACCACACGGACAGTAGATCTAAGCCTAAGTACTTTTAGATAGCAAGCAATTGAGATATCCTAGATCAGTTCGTGTTTATTATTTTTCTCATAAAAAGATAACTGATGTTAACCAGCAACAACACATTTATGAACGAGTACTCGATACAATGCCAACAGCAAGCTCAGATTATTGAAAGTTCTTCTAATCACCAGGAGCTAGGCCATCCCAAAGGTGAGCTACATTGTTTCGCCTCATGGGTTCTGTGCAAGGAGCAGTACTCCTTGGTTCTGTGTTATTTATTATTTCGGGCTACGAGGCATTGAGCCAACAAGATTTTCTTAGCAGACAAATGGATACGAACATGTAGAAGCGTCGCTTCTTCTTTTTGTGCCCTCGCTAAAGCTCAATTCAAACTGAGTTTCAGATCTTCCATCTCATAGTGCAGCTGAATTTTATTTATTTTTTAAGGTCGTTTTATCTACATAGAACGTAGAGTCATCCTTTGCTTGACAGGCATCCACGTGGCGTTTTTTAAGGTTGCCTACTCTTAATTTAAAGGCAAAAAAAAAAAAGAAAAAAAGTTTTGCAGTATTACTGCAAACTTTCTATTTTATACGGAATAGGATGGTTTCGGTTTTTGGGTAGGTAGGCCCATATTAGTTTTGAAATTTCCCCGGACAGCAGCCCCAAGGGCGTACTCTTTTCGATTTTAGAACTGCTTTAAGGGATCTTAATCGTGCGCAACTTCCACACGGGAATCCGAAAAACTTGGTCCTTTTCCAAGAAGGTAAGGTGCTCGAGCCCATCTACCATATCTACCTATTATAACACAAAGTAAAGATGCTTCTCCTTTATCTCCCGGAAAGTTTATTGATATAAGTGGAATCCAATCGGGTAAAGAGTTTATAGGCTTCTTGTCGATGAGACCACGAACAACATGAATCAACAGGCCTTCTCGGGGTAGGCTAGTCTGGACTAAGCCCTCCATAATGATGCATGGAACATTAAGATCAATGATTAAACAGTGCCGCCACCGTGCCCCTGTGGAAAACCCAGCACAACATGTATTCCCAAACTACGGGCCAAAAATCTCGTCGAATGAATGTTCCCGAACCCCCTCTACCCTCCCTTTTTCTTTTTTTGTGGTATTTTTGTTTGTTTGTAAGTGTTTTACAGCGCTCGCAGCTGCATGAGGTCATATTGTGAGCGTGCGGGACACACCTAACATTTTCAGTTGGTAGGAAATTTTGAATTGTGGCCGGGTGGCGGCCGAAGCCTACTCTTATCGATTTTCGACCCCCAAGGAATCTTTAAAGTGCGCAACTTGCACACGGGACCTCCGAGATTTTTCGCCCTTGTCCGAGAATGGCTAAGGGTAGATCTTTCCTACAAGAAGATCAGGGGTGTGGATGAAAGGCTGCAGAAAGAATGAGCCAAGGAGTAGCAGTAGAAAGGCTGCAGAAAGAGCCAGGAGCCCAGTGGAGGGGCCAAAGGA